CAAATGGTCCCTAATTTCCTTGACAAGTGAATAGACTGCTTGGTTTATATGCTTCCAACAATGAAGACTTATAGGATGAATAATTTAATTTTCCAATAGCTCAAAATATTAGGTTCTTCTGAAAGCCTTTAAGTATTTGAACATAACTGGAAATTTCTCCTTTAAATATTTTTTCCATCATGTTGAGAATCCTTGGCTCTAATTTTGAGCCCTTTTTCATGCAGACTGTTTGTAAGATCTCTTAGCATTTTGATTTCTTTTAGAGGTGCACTTTAATTTGCCAAGAAGCAGCTGGAAATGTGGTAGACCAAAGTGAAAAGGATACATCAGGTGAAGCCTGGCCAACAAAGCAAAGAGAAAACTTGGCATTCTCACTACTTTGGACACTTTGCTTTCTATCAGTCTGATCTGTTCATCCGAGTTCTTTTTGAACCACACTATGCTGTTGGCTCATAATGAGTTCGCCAACAAATAAAACCTAGATTCGACCACTCCCACTTCAACTCTTGGCTTCATTCTGTAATGGCACATTTCTGTTATCCTTTTAAAAGTAATTTTTTTAGCCAAAATGTAATATTTTGTATTAGTATTTCTAAATACAGTAATAAAAGTGGCAGCACATGCTTATACAGTACTTATTTTACACAGGACAAGTTTTTAACATGTTACCTAGACTAACTTTAAAAATTTAATATCCTTAGCTCTCACCCTCAACTTTCTATAATTCTATTAGAATACACTCGTCAATTTCTGTTAATTGCCTTGTAAGTTAAAGCAAGATGATAGTTGGCTATTTACTAAGCACTATGTTTCAAGCACTGTGCTGAGGTATTTTTGTTGGTTTGTTTTTTGGGCATTCTCGCCACCATGACCTGACCTAATTATCACCTAAGCTTCATGAGGTAGCTAGCATTACAATACTCACTTTGCACACAGGGAAAACGAGATTTAGAAGATTAAATAACTTGATCCTGGTCTTATAGGTGGCAAATATCAGAGCCAGGATTCAAATCCAGATCTTTCTCACTCCAGAATAGGACTCTTAACCACATGATGTATTTATCAATAAGCTGGAAGTTTATAGGGATAGACACCTAATTGTTTGAGTATTCAAGACTGGCTGAGATGATTGTCAGTATAGGGACACAGCTTCAATGGAATTATGATTAGTTCTGAACATAATGGCTCTTAACAGTTCCTTCCTTCCTTCCTTCAATGAATGCTATAGTCAGGGGGTGCCTGGGTGGCTCAGTTGTTTAAGTGTCTGCCTTTGGTTCAGGTCATGATCCCAGGGTCCTGGGATCAAGCTCTGAATCAGGGTCCCTGCTCAGCAGGAAGCCTGCTTCTCCCTCTCCCACTCCTCTTGCTTGTGTTCCCTCTCTTGCTGGGTCTCTCTCTGTCAAATAAATAAATAAAATCTAAAATAAAATAAATACATTATAATACAATACAATAAATAAAATAAAATAAATAAAATAAATACAGACAAGACAAGACAGTAAAATAAAATAAATGAATGGTGTAGTCAGTACCTAAGTATACAGGGACACTAAACAGGGTATACTGTTAAGTCGGGAAATAAGGCCAGAAAAAGGACACTATTTGAAATGAAAACAATAAATATTAACAAGCAGAGTTGTGTGCTTGTCCTTTTAAAATTGATTATACATATTAGTCTAATTAATATGTACTAATTTTTATATGTAAGAATATAATTTATATGTAAGAATTCTAATTTCATTGTTTCTTATATGGATAGCCAATTATTACAGAAGAACTTAGTAAGTAAAAGAGCCCATCCTTTCTCCAATGATATACAAGGTTTTCTCTGGCATAAAGAGAACCCCAATGTAACTATATTTGGAAAGAGAGCCTTTAAGAAAAGTAAATAAAGTTAAGTGAAGTCATAAGGGTGGGGTCCTAATTTGGTATGACTGACATTCTTATGAGGAAAAAAAAAAAAATCCCAGCAGAAATCTTTCTTTCCACATATGTACAGAGAAAAGGTGAGAGGTAGACACAATGAGAAGATAGCCTCTATAAACCAGAAGGAGAAATCTCACCAAAACCAACCTTGACAGCAGGTCTTCTAGCCTCTGGAACTTGGAAAATTAAATTTCTGTTGTTTAAGTTACCCAGGCTGTGATATTTTGTTATGGCAGTCTGAGCAGACTAATACAGATTTAATGGACCAACTCCTTTGAAAAATACAATCTATAAAACTTACACAGAGAGAACAGATAATCTGAACAGGACTACATCTATTAAATAGATTTCATTAAAAATTAATAATTGTCAAAGAAAAACGAACCAGGCCCAAATAGTTGCAATGGGCTTACTAAACATTTCAATTAGAAATCATACCAATTCTCTACAGTCTCTTCCAGAAAACTGAAATAAAGAGAAACTTTCTAACCCATTCCGTGAGGCTGGCATACTCTCCTATCTAACCCAGATAAAGACTTTAAAAGAAAGAAAAAACCACATATCAATATCACTCATGAACATGCATATAAAAATCCTCAACAAAAAATTAACAAATCAAATCCAACAATGTATAAAAATATTCACCATGACAAAGTAGAATTTACTCTAGGCATGAGAGGCTGGTTCAACTGAAAATGAATTAATGTAATCCATCACATTAAAAGGCTAAAGAAGAAAAATCATATGATCATCTGATCATATGAATAGGTGCAGAAAAAGCATTTCACAAAATCCAACACGTATTTATAATAAAAACTTTCCTCAACTTGATAAACATCTAGAAAGAAGCCCACAGCTTACATCATAGTTAATGGCGAGGCACTAGATGCTTTTCTCCTAAAGACTGGGAAGAAGGCAATGATGTTTGCCTTCAACAGCTCTCTCTTATGTAATAAGAGATGAAAAAAGAAAAGAAAGAAAAGAAACACGCATTGGGAAGGAAAAAGAAAAACAAAACTCCTTTTTTTCAGGTGATAGGATATGAAGTTGACAAAGAAGAAAAACTAAGTGACCTTGGGTTTGGAAATGATTTTTTTTTTTTTTTTGATACAATACCAAAAGCACAATAAAGGAAGATGATAATTGACAAGTTGGACTTTATTAAAATTAAAACTTCTGCTCTGCAGAAGACACTGTAAAAGAATGAGAAGACATCCACAGACTAGGAGAACCATGAGCCCTATTGTCATTATGGACTTTAGTTAGAAATAATATAGCAACAGTGGCTCAGCAATTTTAACAAATGGATCACAAATGCAAGATCTTAATAAGAGAAACTATGTGTGTGTATATGTGGTGGGGGAGTGTAGTATATAAGAACTCCTTGTATTATCTGCTCAGCTTTTCTGTAAACCTAAAATTGTATTACCTAAAACATAAATGTATTACTTTTTTAAAAAGTCGGCCATATTCTTTGATTATTTCTGAAAATTATCTAGAGTTGATTCTGTGCTTTCTATATAGAAAGTGATATAAACTTACTAATGATAGTTTTATTTCTTTACAAGTCCTTATATCTTTTATTTCCTTACAACTATATGTAGCTATGCGATGTTGTTGAGCAGACTTAGAGATAGCAGACTTAGAGAGACTTTGTTGTTGCTCCTGAAGGCGTATTTCTAACACGTCACATTTCCTATATGGGCTTGGCTTAAGACTACTTCCTCTTTGATTTCTCTTATCTGCAGAAGTAACTGAAATGTGTTGCATAAAAATTCTAGGAGCATGCTATCTGGGAGGATTGGCATAAGAATATAAAATAACATTGAAAAGTGTTCTCAAAATAACTAAAATAAGTTCCAATGGCACAAACCAGATATATTGGTAGAAAATCTATATATTGAGTTTTAAATTTTATCCTTAAGCATATGTGAAGGGTTATTTATACAAAGAACGAGAATTATAAATGTCTTTTATTCATGTACTCTTGACATCCTAGCCTTCCCCTGAGGTGCCTTGCCTCTTCCCTTGCCCTTTGGTCTAACACACGCTTTCTCTCTCTGTGGGTGTTGGCTGAAAGGCCATTTCTTCAGGAAGCCCTTCCCTGGCTTTCTAGAGTGGGTTGGATGGCCCTGTTTTACATTTCTCTTGCATCCTGTTCTTTCCTTTTCGTAATAGGCATCACATTTATATGATTGTTCAACTTAACCACATGACTGTAAATTCCAAGTGGACAAATGGAGACCCCATATTTTATTTCTTTCTATATCCCCAGTGCCTAGAACTGTTTTTGTTTAAACTGAGACTCAATACACAGTTGTTCAATGAATTAATGAATAAATAGGAACATCTCCTTTAGCAGCAACTGTCCCTCCAGGTTGGAAGACACTGGCGTCCCTTCGGCATCCTTCGTTGAAGACAAAATAAGAAATAACGATCCGTCTGCATTGTTGCCAAAAAGATAGAAAGTAAAATGACTGAACTGATACTAAAAGTTAATTAATAGATTCAAAGACATTTTGTTTAGATGACAATTATTTATAAACTTATTATTTGATTACTTTTAGATTATGAATCCTTACTAAAGAACATAATGGGTGCCTGGGTGGCTCAGTTGGCTAAGCGTCTGCCCTTGGCTCAGGTCACGATCCTGGGGTCCTGGGATCGTGTCCCACATTGAACTCCCTGCTCAGCCTGCTTCTCCCTCTGCCCCAGCCCCCGCATGTGCTCTATCTCTCAGGCTCTCTTTTTTTCAAATAAATAAATAAAAGCTTAAAAAGAACGTAATGTGCTATAATACTCATCTCAGAGTTCCTCAGAATTTGATATTCTTTCAAGAATATTAAAAGATATAGTTTACAGATGAGATCAAGTATTTAAGAAATATTTGCAAGGCCTCCAAATGGGCAATTTATTCTCTTCTCAATGGCAGTTCTCAGTTCCCTACATTAACATTATATTCTATAATTGCATGCTACCATGTAGTCAATGTGCAAAAGATGTCAAACAAAATGTCAAAATAAATAGTGGTGAAAAAAATGGAGAGAACAGTAATTCATCATTAGTTCTTATACCTGTAAGTGATGTGTTTGTGCTGCCACTTCTGTCCTGTTAATGCATATCGCTTTCGACGAACATTAAATTTGGAGCTACCTCTTGTCTGGTCAGGTACACCACATCGAGGCTTCTTCATCCAGCTGCAAAAAGCAGTATTTTCCAGTTATTTACCAACAACCCTAATCATGAATTTCAAAAGGAAATCAATGGAGAAGTTAATCTATGGCAGTGATAATGAAAATGGGAAAACATAAAGAAGAAAGTGATCAGTTTTCTTGCAATTTGAATCTAAGTAGAAAGCAGATTTTGTCCCCGAATGATCAAGAATCACTGGTTTGGAATTCAGCTCTTTTAGATATTTTTTCTTTCTCTAATTCATTTTGAGCTTACTGTAGAATGAGGTCCTTTTAATCTTCCAACTAGAATCTGTTTTTCATAAGATTTGAGACCTTGGGTAAGTCACTAATTCCTAGTCTCATTCATAAAATGAGACTTTTAAAAATAGAGTTTCACTAACTCTAAACTAAACTAAACTAAAACTAAAAATAGACTAAACTAAACTAAACTAAAAATAGAGTTTCACTAACTCAGGTTTAACATTGAACAATTTAAAAAATATATTACATGACCTTATATTTCAGGATTTGAGAGGGTATATTCTATTCTCTCTTCTAGCTTACATAGAAGTAAATTATTTAAATAACATTTGCCTTTCTCCATTTTTTCTTCTTTTCACTTTGATCACTACCCCAATTTACAAGTAACAACCATTTGTTAAATCAGTAACTAATAACCAAATTCAATGTTTAATTTTTTTTCTGCATTATGAGGTGTTAGCATCACACAAACAAGGTTTAACATAAGTGTATTAGGAAAATGACATGCTGTTTTTTGATTTATTGATTTTTAATACTTATATAAATACAGTCATGGAACTTCTTTTATACAGAGTCTCATTGGTCAAATATAATATTTTCTGTGTAGTCTCGCTTCTTATCTAAGAAGAAAGATTTTCATGATTTTGAGTAGTGTTTCTTTGGTGACTCATAAAATGGCTTTACCATTCATTAGCACATTTAATTTAACAATTAACAAAGCTAGTGCAAAATCTTCATGGTGCTATATTCCTCAGAAAGTAGAAATGAGAAAAGAATCAATTTTTGCTGTATTTCATCAAATACTTTATAATTTCTTTACTCTTTAAATGGAAAACAATTGACTATAGAGATGACTATCTAAAGATATCCATTTTGTGAAAATGAAAGAAATAATTTCTATATTACATGGATAAATCAGCTAATTAGCTCTAATAAATAATAATAACTTGAGACAACAATGAAATCACGACTTTTGCTTTTTAAGAAAGATGACACTTTTACCATAAGTACTGAAAAACGTATCTCCTTTTTTATTCCGCCTCTACACTGCAGACATTGCGGTTACCAGACTTAACAAATCCCATCCTAGTTTATAACGCATTGTGGAGTTACTTCAGAAAATCGCTTTCCTTTTATTAAAGTCTCCCAACTCCTAGGAGGCTATATGGTCCTATAGAATTGAATTCTGTAGAGTTGAGAATGGAGATCTCCTATTTTTAACTAATATTCCAAGGGCATTCCTTAACACTTCATTTGAGAGACATTTCACTAGACTGTAAACACTCAAGGGTAGGAGATCTATATACTCCTACTACACCTTGTACAACCCCTGGAATATAAGAGATATTCAATGAATAAGTGGATAGGGACACTTTGTACTTTTAAATGCAAAATCATTAATTTTTATTACATATTGTAAAATACAGATATAGATTAAACTAGCAAATATTACACATTGGAGGGGTTATGATTTAAGTGGCTTTTATACATGTGTATTCATTAATTATATTCTCAGTAAAAATTGTAATATTCCTAAGGCAGGTTTTTATGCTTATTTATCTCACCAAAAGCACTAAGAGAATAAATAATATATAGTTATTAAATATGAATAAATTTACAAAATGTGAGAAGTGATTATATGTACATTTTGCTAAGAAAAATATTTAAGTTAGCACTCTGGGAAAAGAAATAATTTTGAAATGGATAATGGGATGAAATTTGGCAAAAGAGAATTACCTACTATCAGGATAAAATGTATTGCCAATGAGGACATATTCTCTAAAATTACTTTAATAATCAATAAAATTTAAAAAGGAAGGTAAAAATTGAAAAGAAAATTTTTATTAAAATAAATTTCCATTTTAAACTACGCATATGTTGGATCTAGTAAAAATTTTTTTCAGTGAAGCATTGTATGTTCCAAAGAATAGGGTTTTTATGGATGAGTATTAGATTCTTGTGCTGAAAGATATCTCTGCCGAATTCTTTATGTATTTCCTAGGCTTTTGCCCATTAAATATGTATTTTTTTCTTATGTTCCAACTTCTTCATTTATTTACTCATTCAGTCCTTATTCATTCATCCTGTAATATTTTTCGGCTTTTATAACATGCTAAGAGATATAAAGAAAAAGTGTGACTAAAAAGATAAACAAGGCAAGAAGCCCTTGTTGAGTTCAGTCTATAAGGCAAGACATGCATGATTTAAAAAACATTACTATACAATGGCTTAAGTGCTATCATATCTCTGTCAAGATACCCTGTCATTATTTCTAATTTTACATGTAATAAAAAATTATGATTTTCCTACCCAGGTTTGTACCAATTCCTCCGATGTTTTATTTCAGCCAGAAGTTTTAACACCCAGGTGACATTTCCACTGCTCTCTCCTCACATCTAATCTATCAGAATGTAGTCTCTTTCTTCCAAAATTTTTCTTCCCTCTCTCACTAATGCCATCCTTCTCATTCCTAAAGATAAATCTTCCCAGAGCACAGATGTGTTCTCTATATGTTATGGGTAGGAAATGCTTATATAGAAAGAATCTGATTCAGGCTTACTTAGGGAGGATTTCCCCCGCCCCCCGCCCCCCTTTCCAAGATCCATTCAGGTTCCTACAGACCTAAACCTCTCTCTGCCTTCGTATGCAGTGACCTCTGTCTGGCGTAACTTCCTCTTGTTTCACACTGAGAATCCTAAACATCCTTCATTATTCAACTCACAGAGCTACATTTACCATCCCAACACAGTATGGATTATACTATGTGTTTGGATTTGTATCTCTATCTTCTACCAGCGGAATCAAGGCAGAGAGCCAGAAATGGGGCCCGTACCCAGTGAAGTGTCTTCAATAAGCAAATGAAGCAAATGAATTGAGTCTGCATGTCTTTTTTGTTCATGTTGATCTCCCTTACGGCCCATGTTCCTTGAAGACTTTGTAACTCTTCCCAGGTGTGTGCCTTGAACAAATGCTTATTGCATATGGACATTGTGTAGGTATTTTTATGTAAAACTAAATCATAAAGCAGATGACTTAAGTGTAAGAAATAAACATAAGAACAGGAATAATCTAATATTTATCAGTAATTTAATACAAATAACTCTTTTTTTTAAATTTTATTTTTTATAAACATATATTTTTTTTCCCCAGGGGTACAGGTCTGTGAATCGCCAGGTTTACACACTTCACAGCACTCACCATAGCACATACCCTCCCCAATGTCCATAACCCCACCCCCCTCTCCCAACACCCCACCCCCCAGCAGCCCTCAGTTTGTTTTGTGAGATTAAGAGTCACTTATGGTTTGTCTCCCTCCCAATCCCATCTTGTTTCATTATTCTTCTCCTACCCCCTTAACCCCCCATGTTGCATCTCCTCTCCCTCATATCAGGGAGATCATATGATAGTTGTCTTTCTCCGATTGACTTATTTCGCTAAGCATGATACCCTCTAGTTCCCTCCACGTCGTCGCAAATGGCAAGATTTCATTTCTTTTGATGGCTAATGCAAATAACTCTTAATAAGGGTTGGTTGAACTGAGAATACTCTATGTTAACTTTGCCAATATTTGCATCCAAATATTCTGGCATAGAGATATTAGCAGGTATTATTTATCAAATTATGCAAAATCCCCAAAATATGATAGAAGCACATCAAGCCGCTGAATATGACACACAGTATTTGAGCTAAATTGGCCGTGGGGCCTTCTATGTGACTCTAAACATTTAAATCATTCTTTAATTTCATAAGGGGTCAGGTTCTTTCTACTACAATTTTTTAAAATTCTTGGTGGATAAAAATGATGATTAGTGTTTAACGACTCATCAATGAATTGAATGTCTAATACTAAAGGTAAAGTTGGTATATTAATATTATTCAGGTAGAGTCTGACACTGGGATTTCTTCCTAGTTATCATGCACCAAGTATTAGTAGCATTCATATATCAATCTGATAAAACCCATACATACTTGTACACGAGAGTGCAAAACTCTACATGTACAAGTAGAATTGATTGATTGTTTCACCTCAGGTTAACAACTATATCACCTGATTGAGCGCTATTTTCAAGCAGTGCTTTTGTGAAAGTACCATTGCTAAAACACACTTATTTTTCTGCATGTCAATACATAGCCCATATACAAGTGCTTCTTTACTGACTCATTTGCCAAGAATTTTAAGTTGACATTCCAAAGCAAACAAAGACATGGGAACAGGCACTGGGTTTGGGAGGGAGATACAAGGAAGTCATTTTGTAGTTTCAAGGTGTAAATAATGGCATTACCTCAGTTTGCATAAATGTAATACTGATAGTCAATACTGACTTAATTGTTTAGAACCCAGAACATTTTCAGATTAGTTGGGCACGGGGCCCTGAGTGGCTCAGTGGGTTAAGCCTCTGCCTTCAGCTCAGGTCATGATCTCAGGGTCCTGGGATCGAGCCCCGCATCGGGGCTCTCTGCTCAGCAGGGAGCCTGCTTCTCCCCTCTCTCTCTGCCTGCCACTCTGCCTACTTGTGATCTCTCTCTCTCTGTGTCAAATAAATAAGTAAAATCTTTAAAAAAAATTAGTTGGGCAGATCATTAGTAATTTCTTTAACTGAACTCAGAAAGGAAAAATATCTGACATCAATGTTTTTGAGAGGAGTAATACTGTAAAAGTTAGGAGCAGGGATCCTAGGGCCAAACTGCTAGGGCTCCCAACCCAACTCTACCAGCTCCCCAGCCGTGGGTGGGCTAGTGGTCTGGCTACTATTTCTTTCTGT